ATTATTATTATTATTATTATTATTATTATTATTATTATTATTATTATAATAATAATAATAATACTGCGTATAGGTTATTGTAAGTGACCCGCCTTAGCCTCGTCACTAATTCGTCGAGATTAGGCTCGACACTTACAGAGTACATGAGGTCGGTTGTACTCATACTACACTTTTCACTTCTTATGCAGATTTTGGAGTCGGTCCTAGCGGATGTCAGTTGATTGCTCAGATTGATTGCTTGACGGAGACTTGAGGTACAGCTACACGGCGTCCGCAACCCTGAAGTCCCCTTTCATATCACTCTAGTTGTTTACCGTATTTCAGATAGTTATGCTTTCATTCAGACTTTTATTTGTAGTACTCTAGTCGCTCGTGTAATTGTGACATCAGTTCTGGGATTATATCTAGATATTGATGTCATTATGATTTTCTCGCTCTATTTTAATTTATTCAGTTTCTTGGTTATTATTTAATTTGAATTGTTAAAAGTGACAACAACAAAAAATACTATTTGTAAAGTTGACTTGACTAGTAAATAAAATGTTAGGCGGCGCAAGTGGAAATTCCGGGTCATGACAATTTGTGATAGGTCACTTGTTTGTTTCTGCAATCCGCTATAGTATTTGTGTATTGATGCTGATATTACCTGCATCTTGCCCGTCACTTTATAGTCTTTTAGGTATTTATATATTCATCAAAGGAAACTTCTTAAACAATGGTCTTTTTCAATATTTGAAAATTATATGTAAAATGTTTGTTAATGATTGAAAGTTGAAACAACTTCATATGAGTCATGACCGACCATCTGTCCTTTTTCACCAGAAATCAAACTTATTTTGACCACAAAAAAAAGAAAAAGGAAAGAAGAAGCCGTGCACAGATGTTTTAGCTCAATAAAGTATCATTGTCACTTTCGAAGCTTGCCTTCTTTAAATGGTCTCTTGATTTTTCTCTCGCTTGACGAAAAAGTGTGCATCTGTGCAGCTTCCACCGCCATTTTCTCCTCCTCAAAACTCCCTCTGAATCCCATAACTTGGCACTTTGAAACCTTGAAACAAACTTCAATTATCTTTCTTTGATCTGTAATAACTGAAACAAACTTAAAGTTTCTCTCTTTGATCTGTAATAACTACAATTTCCTAGCAGTTTGAGTAATCTAAATCAATAAAGTTTTAACCTTTACTGGTATTTTGGTCACTAATTTGGATTCTTGATTTGAACTGTGAACTATGGGGTTTGAGAAAGACAAGGCAAGTTCATCATCCCATATTCTGCAAATCCCAAGAGAAGATACACCACTTTTAGCAAACACCCAACACCTTTCTTCACCTTCCAAAACTTTTGCTAATGTTTTCATAGCAGTAGTTGGAGCTGGAGTTCTTGGTCTTCCTTACAGTTTCAAGAAAACAGGATGGGTGATGGCTACTCTCGTGCTTTTATCAGTAGCCACTCTTACTTACTATTGTATGATGCTTTTAGTCTACTCAAGGAGAAAGCTAGAATCCCATTTCAAAGTTGCCAAGATTTCATCTTTTGGTGATTTGGGATATGCTGTGTGTGGATCTATAGGTAGATGTACAGTAGATGCTATGATTGTTATGTCTCAAGCTGGTTTTTGTATAAGTTACTTGATTTTCATAGCCAATACATTAGCACACTTATTCAATTATTCCATTGAAAATTCAAACCCTAAAATCTTGGGATTGTCACCTAAAAAGGTGTATATTTGGAGTTGTTTCCCATTTCAGCTGGGGTTGAATTCAATCCCTACACTTACTCACTTAGCCCCTTTGAGTATATTTGCTGATGTTGTTGATTTAGGTGCTATGGGGGTAGTTATGGTTGAGGATGTGTTGATTTTTCTAAAATATAGACCTGTTCTTGAAGCATTTGGTGGGTTCAGTGTTTTCTTTTATGGTCTTGGTGTATCTGTTTATGCTTTTGAAGGTGTTGGGATGGTTTTACCTTTAGAAGCAGAGATGAAAGACAAGGACAAATTTGGGAAAATCTTGGGTTTGTCAATGGCTTTCATTTCTTTGATGTATGGTTCTTTTGGAGTATTGGGGTACTTTGCCTTTGGGGAAGAGACCAAAGATATAATAACTAGAAATCTTGGTAGAGGATTGCTTAGCACCTTAGTACAGATTGGACTTTGCATAAACCTTTTCTTTACTTTTCCACTTATGATGAACCCTGTTTATGAAGTCATGGAAAGGAGATTTTGTGAAGGCAGATACTGCTTTTGGCTAAGATGGATTGTGGTTTTGGTAGTCACTTTAGTGGCATTAATGGTGCCAAATTTTGCTGATTTCTTGTCATTAGTTGGGAGCAGTGTGTGCATTATTTTGGGGTTTGTGTTGCCTGCTTTGTTTCACTTAATTGTGTTCAAGAAAGAACTGGGATGGCTTGGTTTGACTTTGGATTCTGCACTTGTTTTAATGGGTGCAGTTTTGGCAGTCTATGGAACTTATTCTTCCATGCTGCAGATCTTTGGAGTCAAAGCTTGAAATTGGTCTACTTACTTCCTATTACAATTTAATTGTATCATGATATATATATGTATA